AAAACATCGAAAAGCACAAAGAATATAAAAATCACCCAAGCCCTACAGATAATATGAAAGAAAGTTTACAGTTTTGATTGTAGTAAGCCCAAGCATGGACTATTTGGGGGCAGGTTAGTTAGTTTATAAATTCATTAGTATCTGACTTAATAGAATAATTATATACTTTGTTGGCCCATGTCCTTGGTTTTTTCCGGCTTTGTAGGTCCTCCCTATAAAGGAACAGGACTTGAGTGGAGAGAAAATGGTGGCATTCCTTTGCTTTGATTCCGTAGCACTGGTGACAGGCTGGGGTTGAGGTTGGCAGTGCAGTGTCTTTGGGGGTACCTGTTGATTTCTGGGCCGTTCTTGGTCTACCAGCTGCAGCAGCCACACCTCCCCTCTTCTTTGATCACAGGCTGTGAGAATGGCTATTTGAAGGAATCATCCATTGGGCAGAATTGGTTCTGGTGAGCAGTTTTCTTTAGTAAGAAACACAAGCTGATCATATGGTCAAAAATACTAAGCAGCAGATTTCCTGGAAACCTGGTTGTGGTGTCCACTGGAGTCTTGTGTTTATAATTCCAGTGGACACCATCTAGACTGTAGATTATATAAATGGTACCTCCTAGAGCATAACACTTGGCCTGTTTACTTTCATTCCTTTCTCCCCATAAGACAAATATTAACGTTGATGAAAAAGCTTAAAGGATACTAAGTGTCTTTTTATTAATTTTTGAAATTTCATTCCACTTTTTCCTTCTTTTTAAAATGGGCTAGCGGAGCGCCTGGGTGGCTCAGTTGGTTAAGTGTCTGCCTTCGGCTCAGGTCATGACCTCAGGGTTCTGGGATCAAGCCCAGCATCAGGCTCCCTGCTTAGTGGGGAAGTCTGCTTCTCCCTCTCACTCTGCCTCTGTGCTCTTTCTCTCTCAAAAAAATAAATAAAATCTTAAACAAAAATGGGCTAGCTTTGGGGCGCCTGGGTGGCTCAGTTGGTTAAGTATCCCAGAGTCCTGGGATCAAGCCCCACGTCAGGCTCCCTGATCAGCGCAGAATTTGCTTCTCCCTCTCCCTCTGCCCCTCCCTCACTCATGCTCTCTCTCAAATGAATAAATAAAATCTTTTTAAAAAATGGGTTAGCTTTTATTTCATTGTTCAGGAACATAGCACGTTGTGTTGGATTTATTGGGGAAATTAAATTTTTGAATTGATTCTGCTAATTATGATTTGAATTAGAGGAAAAACTTAAAAAATAGCTGTAAGCTTTTCATTGGAAGATAGTTTTACCTAGTGATTAAAAATTAGAGCAGTATGAAACTCAATAATAAAAAGACAAATAGCCCATTTAAAAAATGGCCAAAGAATCTAATAGACATTTCTCCAAGGAAGATATACAAATGGCCCTTAAGTACCTAAACAGATGCTCAACATCATTAGTCATTAGGCAAATGCAAGTCAAAAGCACAAGGAGATACCATCACACCCACTAAGATGGACAATAATAAGCATTGGTCAAGATATGGAGAAATTGGAATGCTCCTACATTGCTGGTAAGAATGTAAAGTCACATGGCCACTTGGAAAAATGGTCTGGCAGTTTTTTGAAATGTCAAATATAAACTTACCGTATGATTCAGCAATTATCTTCCTAGGTATATGCCCAAGAAAAATGAAATATATTTCTACACAAGAACTTGTACATGAATGTTAATAGCAGCATTATTCAAAATACCTAAAAAGTGGGGGACACCTGGGTGGCTTAGTTGGTTGTGTGTCCGACTCTTGATTTCAGCTCAGGTTATGATCTCAGGTCATGGGATTGAGCTTCGCATCCGGCTCTGCTTGGCAGGGAGTCTGCTTGACATTCTTTCTCTCTCCTGCCCCTCCCCCCACTCTTGCACACAAGTGCTCTCTCTCCCTCTCTCTCTAAAATAAATAAATCTTTTAAAAAAATACCCCAAAAGTGGAAATAACACATATATCCATCAACTAATAAAATGATAAAATGTGTTCTATCCAGACACTGGAATGTTATTTGGCAATAAAAAGGAATGAAGTACCCATATATCATTAACATGTATATTGAAGACGTTATGCTAAGTGAAAAAGCAAGTCACAGAAGACCACATATTGTATAAGTCCATTAATATGAAATGTCTGGGCTAGAGAAAATCTGTAGATACTGAAAGCAGATTAGTGGTTGCCTAAAACTAGAGGTGGAGCGGGAAATGCAGAGTGAGTGCTAATGGATAGATGCAGGGTTTCTTTTGGGTGACAAAATGTTGTAAAGTCAGACTGTGGTGATAGGGGCACCTGGGTGGCTCAGTCATTTAGGCATCCGACTCTTGGTTACCGCTCATGATCTCAGGGTTTTTGGATTGAGCTGGTGCTCAGCAGGGAGTCTGCTTGAAATTCTCTCCCTCTTTCTCCCCCGTGCTCCTCCCCCAACTCTCTCTCTCAAATAAATAAATAAAATCTTAGATTGTGGTGATAGTTGAACACCTCTAAGAATAGACTAAAAGCCCTTGATTGTATACTTTAAATGGGTGAATTGTATGGTCTGTGAATTATAGCTCAATAAAGCTGTTTAAAAACTTTAAAAAAAAAAGCATAAAATCATGGCAAAAGAAGGACAGGGGCGCCTGGGTGGCTCAGTTGGTTGAGCTACTGCCTTCGGCTCAGGTCATGATCCTGGAGTCCTGGGATCGAGTCCCGCATCGGGCTCCCTGCTTAGCGGGGAGTCTGCTTCTCCCTCTGACCCTCACCCCCTCATTCTCTCTCTCTCTGTCATTCTCTCTCTCTCTCAAAAATAAATAAAATTAAAAAGACAAATTTTCCAACATAATTGAAAATATTGAAATACGATGTATTGTTTTTCTTTTTTCTTTTTTTTTTTAAAGATTTTATTTATTTATTTGAGAGAGAGAGAATGAGAGATAGTACGAGAGGGAAGAGGGTCAGAGGGAGAAGCAGACTCCCCGCCGAGCAGGGAGCCCGATGTGGGACTCGATCCCGGGACTCCAGGATCATGACCCGAGCCGAAGGCAGTCGCTTAACCAACTGAGCCACCCAGGTGCCCCATGATGTATTGTTTTTCTTATCCTCTATTAACCCACTAACAATATTTTTCACTAGCCAGAAATCCATTCCTTCTAACTTATGAATATAACATCTAGCTTATGCTCAGGAGTAGAGCAGTCAAGTGATTCTATTCAGTTAAATTTTTAATAATTGTGCTTACTTTGGTGGTACAGATTCTAAAATTGAAGCACTCTAAGGAGCATTTAGCATGGAGGATATCTGAACCTCAGTGCAGTGTTCCATATATTAGAAACATTTATTAAAGGAAATAAGATAAGACCTGAATAAATGTGTGTATAGATGTGAAAATGTAATATTGTAGAGATAGTGTTAAAAAACAAAATTCAGTCTACGGCCATACCACCCTGAACGTGCCCAATCTCATCTGATCTTGGAAGCAAAGCAGGGTCAGGCCTGGTTAGTACTTGGATGGGAGACTGCCTGGGAAGACCGGGTGCTATAGGCTAAAAAATCCAAAACAAAACAGAACAAAAAACAAAATTCAGCCTAGTAAATTTGAAGATCTAATTGGCTTTATTAAACAATTCATGACTTGGGCAGCATCCCATCTAGCAAGTAGAGAGGAGCTCTGAGGAGTTGTACAAAATGGAAGGATTTTATAGGAAGAAGGGTGGGTCGTTAGCAAAAGGAAACATGGATTGTTCCAGGCAAGGTCGCTTTCCCTTAAGGAGGAAGAGTAGCAGGTCTTACCATGCAGATTACCTCATCTTCCTTTGGGGAATGGAGAGGGCTCCTGTGGCCACTCATTGCAGACTCACTGGCCCAGATGAGGAAAATTCCTGACTGACTGGGTAAGACTACTTTTCTGGGGGAGGTTGAAACTAGAATCAGATTAGTTATTAAACCCCAGTTTGGGACTTGCCTAGGAGACACCATTTCCTTTCTTTTTTTTCCACTTTATTTCATTCTAGCTGCTCAGTGGCTGGAGCTGCTGTGTTCCTGGTATTAAAAAGATGCCAACAGAGGTAGCTGTGTCTCGCCCAGGGGCCTGGCCCACTCTGAATACATGCTCCCAAATAAGGGGCAGGTAACAAATTATGTTAGAGTAACTGTGATAAAGCAACTCTATTTGTCAAGAAGAAAAGATTCAGGATAAATTAAACATATAATGAAGGAAACTAGAATATGTCACCCCATGATTTGACCTAAAAATCATTTTGAGCTGAAGGCTGTCAAGAAGCAGTAAACACTGGAAAAGCTCCCCCTTTCCTGCCTATAGGCCAGAAACAAATTCTCCATTTACTGGAGAAAGACATTTGTATCAGCTCAGACAATCTGCAAACCTTTTTAAAGTAACCCTTGTCTTCCTAGTTCCTTCTTCATCATTTACTATTCCAAGCCCCAACCCCTTTGTCTTGCCAATTCTTCACAAATATAAAAAGCTTCCTGCTTCTTTGGGGTCTTCGTTCTCTTGGGAAGGCTCCCATGTACGGACAAATTCAATAACATTTATATACTTTTTTCCTGTTAATCTGTCTTTGTCCGTTTTATTTTCAGGCCCAGTCAGGGACTCTAAGAGGGTCAAGGAAAACTTTTTCCTTCCTTACAATAATATTCCATTTTAATAAAGTATAGAATACATGTATAGATTTACTTGGGAAAAGATCTGGGAGGATATTTATATACAGGATACAATGTTGTCTTTGGGTGGAGAGCTGTGGGGGTGATTTAATTTCTTTTTTTGTGTATTAAGAATAAACAAAATAAGTTTGTTTTATTGGTGCTGTATTTCAGAAATGTTCACCATGTAACAGCACATAGATTTTTGTTATTTGATTTATAAAATTGATTAGACATGGAGGTGAGATGTACAAAATAATTGAAGGGCTTATGTTGTATACTTGAATTTATGTGGACTTTTCCTGTAAGACAAAGAAATAAAAACCTCATTCTGGTTTTTTGTTTTTTTTTTATTAATAGGTTTTCTCGCACAGATATGGCAACAAGCAGCCGTCCCTTTGCATCCTTTGATACAAAACTGGCCTCTGGACGGCTCGGATCATCTAATGTGAGCAGGTTAGGAAGAGGGTGCAGGTGTTTTCCGGACAACAGCGGGGAGCAGTCCAACCCTTTGGTGAATTGTAATGTTGATGTTAGAACAGGGCTTTGTATTTTACTGACTGGCGAAATAGGCAGGTATAGTGTCCATTTTACAAATTAGGGAAGGAGAGACAGAGCTGCTAAGGGACATGTGAATGGGTGGCGCTGTTACATAAAAAGAAAAGTAAATTCAACATTTGGGGCACAGCTCTCTTTGGAGTCTTTTTTATCTTAAAATTTTTTAAATCATTGATTTCATTTATAAAATAATATAACCACATTGCCAAGCATCCACCATAAATATGACCTCTTAAACTGTATTCATTCTCATCTTTTTCCTGGGCATGTGCTTCTCTCTGTTATGGAGGCAGCCATGGGGTTTTCACTGGATGTTGTAGTATGATTATTTTTCTACTTACATTCTTCTTGTAACCTTGGCTTAAAGAGCATTTTAAGAAACATTGATTATAGAAAATTCAGGAAATATAGAAAAGCACAAAGGAGAGAGAAAAATGTATATTACCATCACTGTAACTGTGTGTGTGTGTGTGTGTGTGTGTGTGTGTGTGTGTGTCCTTTCTTTTTCTCTTCATATATAGAGCAAGTTCTTTTTTTTTATTATTATTAATTGGGATCACATTCGATATACTATTTAGTAACCTGCTTTTTAAAAATTTTATTATTTTTTGCCCTGCCCCTCCACCTTATTTTTTGTGTCTGTTTTTAAAAGTTAATGTATCATGACATTTTTCCTTTCCATTAATATTTTTGGTAATACCACATTTGCTAAGTAATATTCCTTTCCTGCCCATTCTAGAATTAATATAATGAGTTGTTTCTTTTCGAACATGTATATTGTTTATCTCTGATAAACAGAGATTAAAGACAACTCTGTGAAAGCTATGTTTTAGTACCATGAGAAAGGGCTTTTTATCTATCCTTGTAGGATTATTAAACTTTAAGTTGTAGCATTTGATATTTTGCATTTGTAATTTCAGCTACTTGTAAGTGTGTTTATAACACTCATGAATTTGGCATTTTGCCTTAGGACTCAGCTCTCACAGTACAACAAAGGGGTGCAATAATTTGAGGATCGATGACTGGAAATGAAGCTGAAAATAACTCCTAAGGATTTTAAGGCGTTTATTTTTCACATTATGATTTCATTCCATATGTCTCTGCTTATGGAAATCTGAGCTTTCTTTAGAAATATGAGTCTCTCCCTCAGGGTTAACCTCTAACTCGTCTGATAGTTTCCTAAGTAACTACTGCATCAACATTTATAGATCTTCTTAGATTTACAGTGGGCTTACATCCCCAATGAGCCCATCGTCAACTGAAAATGCCTTTAATAGCCCTAACCTATTGAACATCATAGCTTAGCCTCACCTACCTTAAATGTGCTCAGAACACTTAACATTAGCCTGCAGTTGGGCAAAATCATCAGAACCCATTTCTGGTAGAAGAGTAACTGAAGTGGGATTTTGTTTCCATGTTTGAAGGAATGAATTTGGAGAGGTTGGGGGCATGGACCTTTGACTTTAAGCTCTTTTAAATAAATCATCATCCTGCTCATTTACTTACTGAAATATTTTCCTATTAAAAGTTGTTACACAGAGGCGCCTGGGTGGTTTAGTTGGTTAAGCATCCGACTCTTGATCTTAGCTCAGGTCTTGATTTCAGGGTCCTGAGTTCAAGCCCTGTGTCGGGCTCCATGCAGGACATGGAGCTTATTTAAAAAAAAAATAAAAAGTTACACAAGGGCGCCTGGGTGGCTCAGTTGGTTGGGCGACTGCCTTCGGCTCAGGTCATGATCCTGGAGTCCCGGGATCGAGTCCCACATCGGGCTCCCTGCTCGGTAGGGAGTCTGCTTCTCCCTCTGACCTTCCTCCCTCTCATGCTCTCTCTCTACCATTCTCTCTCTCTCTCAAATAAATAAAAATCTTTAAAAAAAAAAAAAAAGTTACACAAAACATTTTGTAGAAGGCTCTAATTTTATTTTATTTTATTTTATTATTATTTATTTGTTTATTTTGGTGGGTGGGAAGGGCAGAGGCAGAGGGAGAGCGAGAATCTTAAGCAGGCTCCATGCCCGACACAGGGCTCAATCACACAACTCTGAGATCATGACCCGAGCTGAAATCAAGTCAGTCTCCCTGAGGGCCTAATTTTAAAGAGCAAAATTTCCATCAATCATAAATAACAGATAAGTTTTAATAAAGGGTAAAATCATATTGATTATACAGATGTAAAAATAAACACATTTTAAAGATTTTATTTAACTCATTAATCAGTGAGGGAACTAGGCAGATTTTATAATTGATTCAAAGGAGAAATCGAAACAGCACAAATTTATATGGAGTAAAAGAGTGTTGAAATTAATGTCCAAAGTCAGTAAAACTACAGTGAAGGAGGTAATTGAACCTCTCCTAGTCAAGGATACAATTTGCATGTCTATAGACAATTATTTTGCATCGCTATCAGTTAAAATTTACAGAGTTGCAATTCAACACTAAAAAAACAAAACCGATTAAAAAATGGGTGGAGGACCTGAATAGACATGCAGATGGCCAACAGACACATGAAAAGATGCTTAACCTCACTAATCATTGGAGAAATGCAAATCAAAACCGCAGTGAGATACCAATTATATCTGTCAGAATGCCTAAAAAAAACACAAAAAACCATAACAAATGTTGGCCAGGATGTGGAGAAAAGAGAGCCCTCGTGCATTATTGGTGGGAATATAACCTGGTGTGGCCGCTGTGGAAAACAGTATGGAAGTTCCTCAAAAAGGTAAACATAGAAATACCATATGATCCATTTTCACTACTGGGTATTTACTCAAAGAAAGCGAAAACACTAATTCAAAAAGATATATGCACCCCATGTTTATTGCACAGTATTTACAATAGCCAAGATACGGAACATACGGACAGCCAAGTGTCCAGCCATAGATAACATGGACAAAGAAGATGTGGTGTATATGTACAATGGAATATCACTCAGCCGTAGAAAAGGACGATATCTTGCCATTTGCAACAGCATAGATGGACCTAGAGGGTATAATGTTAAGTGAAATAAGTCAGACTGAGAAAGACGAATAACCATGTGATTTCACTTATGTGTGGAATCTAAAAAACAAAACAAATGGATAAACAAACAAAAAGACCCATAAATATGGAAAACAAACTGATGGTTGCTAGAGGGAAGGGGGGGTGGGTCGATGGGCAAAATGGGTGAGGGAGAGTGGGAGATAACAGGCTTCCACTTAGGGAATAAATAAGTCGTGGGAATAAAAAGCACAGCATAGGGAATATAGTCCGTGATACTAGAAAAGCATTGTGTGGTGACGGATGGTAGCTACATTTGTGGTGAGACTAGCGTAACTATAGGGAAGTTGAATCACTGTTGTACACCTGAAACTTATGAAACATTGTGTGTCCACTGTACTCTAATTTAAAAAGAAAACACAGTTTTCGGAGTTGCAAGTCAGTTCCCTGGAATCAAAAAGCAATCCAAAGGGGTCTCTTCTACAGTATAGAGAATCATGCATAGTTTTCCGCTGACACACGTTTTTTCCCCCTGCATGATCAAACTAAAACACAGTAACTTTCCCTCTCCTATGAGTAAAGGTAGTTCCCACGCTTGTGGTCTTTGTGCCTGCTATGAGCCTTGTTTGTCAGTTTCTTCCATCCTCACAACAGCTTCATGAAGTAGGCAGTGGTGGTGGTCCCATTTTACAGATGAGCAAGTCAGGCTTCAGAAGGTTAAAGACATTGCTACTAAGTGGTAGAGTTAGAACTCCGGCCTTTCTTTCTCCAAAGTGTCATGTGAACACACACGTGCAGCAACATGCTCATAGTAAAAGCTATAGAAATACTGTGTATTTTTTTCTTGGTCTTTAGGTCAACATCAAACAAGGTGGATCTCAAGTGTGGCCTAGAAGAATGTGCGGTGGCATTGAACTTATTTCTAAGTAACAAATTTACAGATGCCTTAGAATTGCTTCGACCGTGGTAATTAACTGTATTTCTTTCAGATAAAATATATATTTTTCAGATGTTTCTGATGATTCTTTCTTTGATGTCATGATTGTCAGTTAATTTATCTGCATGTCTACCTGAGTATTTCTAAGCTAATTTGGTTGAGACCCCCTACTGGTTGGTCAGTTTTAATATCCAGTTAAGAAATCTGTCTTTTCAAATTTAATCAGTAGAAAGTTTCTGACTCTTTCTCATATTTTAATTTATATTTGTGTTCAAATATTGTTATTGTATGTAGTTTTGTAGAGCTTCCTTTTCCTTTCTTCAGTGAAATGTTTTTATGGATATGTCTCTAAAGCTTAAATATCATTGAAAAAAGTTTCCTTTGAAATGGGATAAAAAGAACTAAAATATGCTAATCTCAAATGTTAAAAAGAAATTTAAAATAATAAAAAATGTTATTGGGACTCCCTATTTATGTGATAAACAAGTTAAGCAGTTTAATTTCAGCTAGTAATACCTGTTCATTTTTCGAATGTGGCAGCAACTCCCGTGCTCAGCCCTGATACTGGGCTTGTCACCTTGACCACAGTCCCCAGCTCTACAGTGTGCCTGGAGCTTGACAGGAATAATCTTACATTGTGCCTTCAAACACAGTCACTTGCCTGGATGAAGTTTAGACCTTATATAATAGTTTTTTAGAAGGTTACTTGGGCCCATAGTAGGAATCTCATTTCTTTGGTCAGTAGGGTATGTGATTTTGATCATAGACTTTCAGTCTTAGCTACACTCATGGTGGTGAGCATTGCATAATATATAGAATTGCCAAATCACTGTGTCGTACACCCGAAATGTCAACTGCACACTGCAATTAAAAAAAAATTACATTACCTCCTGAGAAGCTGCTCTGGTGATTCTATTTTGATGTAGAGGAGCTGTGATCAATGAGTATTTCAGAGGTTAGGAACAGATGATAAAATAGATGGTACAGTCCACAGCTGAAGGAAATTGTCCAGCGTTGTCTTCAACACTTGTCTGCCCTGCCTGTCTCCTGCTTCATTTTCCTCTGTCCTTGCCAGTCCCTCAGACTTCTTTCTCTCTCTGTCTTCTGTCTCTACTTCTCTGTCTTCCTTTCTCAACCTGCCTGCCTGTCTCCTTTGTGTTTTTTTTCACACAGGACTCCTTTTTTTCTCTGTCTCAGACACCCAGCTTGTTGTAACATGGAATGAAAAGAAGTGATTATTTTATTTGGTCAAATTTTATATCCTCTGATCTTTATGCAAGTTTCACTGTTAACATATGTTTTTCCCACTTGAATCGTTTTCCTCTTGGAGCTTTTGGTTTAAAATGTGAGGTTTAAAACCACAGTAAATGATTAACTTTAGGCTGATCTTAACTCCTTGCAGGGTTTTTTGAACAGCCAGTGACCTCACTAGTCAGGCCAAACTGCAAATTACCAAAGGATGTTTAGACTGTTTCCATGGGGGAAAAGAATAATGTGGCCAGCATTTGTTTTCATAGCCATGGGCTGTTGGGCATTATATTTGAATTAAAAACAAAATCATGCATTAATATCTTAAATCTTGTAACAGATTGACCTAATGAGAAGTTTTGAGAAAGAAATGGTGAGGTTTTCACAGCGCGAAAGTCTGGGATGTGCCGTACATTAAGACTAATTAATGCCCTTCTCTGAAAAACAAACTGAGGGTTCTAGAGGGGAGGGGGGTGTGGGGGGATGGGTTAGCCTGGTGATGGGTATTAAAGAGGGCACGTACTGCATGGAGCACTGGGTGTTATACGCAAACAATGAATCATGGAACACTACATCAAAAACTCATGATGTAATGTATGGTGATTAACATAACAATAAAAAATTTAAAGAAAAAAAAAGACTAATTAATGCCCTTAAGAATCCAAGCAATTCTCTGGGCCCCTGGGTGGCTCAGTTGGTGAAGACTCTGCCTTCAGCTCAGGGATCAAGCCCCATGACGGGCTCCCTGCTCGGTCTGCTTCTCCCTCTGCCCCTCACCCCCCTCGTGCTCTCTCTCTCTCTCTCTCTCTCAAATAAGTAAATAAAATCTTAAAAAAAAAAAAAGAATCCAAGCAATTCTCAACTGATAATTTAGTAATTGGAATTGTCAAGAACTTTAATAAGGAATTGTAGATAATGGGATTAGATTAGATATGAGGTCTAAAATGTACTTTGCCTGGGCCCATTGTGGCTGACCTAATTTATCGCAAAAATCTTGCTTTTCTTTGGCCTCTGGCTGGGAATGGAAAGGAGCTTTTTTTTTTTTTTTTTTAATGACTGTCCGAAAATATATCAAAATCTCTCTGTCACAAAATGCATTTCCAGGGGCCTTTATTTTAGTACTTATATCAGAGCTAAAGATAGTAAGTATATTGCCTGGTGTTCAACTGGGAAAAATTGGTTTGCTTTGAAAGAAAAGAATCCGCAGGCTGCCCCCTTGTGCTGAAACAGGGCAAAACAATTGGCGGCTTCTGCTTTAACCTGGAACATTCTGTGCTGCCTCTGTAGGCTTAATTTGGAAAGTCCTTAATATTTGAGTTTTTTAGGACATGCCTTTCTCAGTCTATATTATTTTAGTGATCATGGTGTCTGAGTACAAGTTATCACTATCAAAGTCATCATATGCATTTACTAGGATTTCTCCTGATTAGTATCAGACAAGACGTGCATGCTTTTAAGTTGAGTTGGGATGTATTAATTCCCTGTGTTTTGCCCCCAGGGCTAAGGAGAGTATGTACCATGCCTTGGGCTACAGTACTATTGTGGTGTTGCAGGCGGTCATGACCTTCGAGCAGCAGGACATCCAAAACGGCATTTCTGCCATGAAGGACGCATTACAAACCTGCCAAAAGTATGAACTGAGTAATTAAATACTTGAGATAAAACTACAAACCTTTATGTCTGTGTGACAATGTGAGTGTGGTTTGCCTGATGGAGAGAGCTCTGTTTGAAATTCGCCCCAATTGTAGTAAGGGGCTTGTACTTCAAAGCTTCCTAGCCTCACATAGTTCTATGTAATAGAGTTAAAATTTCCTATTAGGAATTATAGTTGATTCTTGTTTGGCCAAACACTTGGCATCTATACCTCCACCTTTTTCTTCTTCCTTTCTTTTCTTTCCCTCCCTCCCTTCCTTCCTTCCCTTCTTACTTCCCTTCCTCCTTCCTTCCTTCCTTCCTTCCTTCCTTCCTTCCTTCCTTCCTTCC